TCCCCCCCCCCCCTCCCCCGACCTCCGCGTGCGAAGACAGGAAAGTACTGGATGAAAACAGGGAAAAGAAAAGGAATAGGATGTTGGGAAATTGGGGAAGGCCAGAAGAAGGCAAACGAAACTGTGGAGGGGAAAGGTACATCATACGCCTTTTCGCTGATTCTGCAGAAAAAAAACTACTGCTGTAATATTACTATAGCAGTTTGCTTGCTTGGTGTGTGTTGTCATTTTCGCTATACACACACTCACAAAAAAAAAAAGCCATTACTGTGCCAGACTGTTTCGTCGGGAGGTTTAACCCCCCGACAGTCTGTCCAGGATGCATTTGACTGATATATATATATACCTGTTCTGTATTATTTGGCTGTTCCCTTCCTCTTTTCTTTGCCTCTTTTCCTTCTGGCTGTGTGCAAGTGGGTCGATATGACACACGGGGGTGGGGGCAGCCGCCGCTCAACCTACATCCACGTGGGCGGCCTTGTACGCAAGAGGTTCTGAACAGGGGGATTCTTGTAAGGAAGAAGATAACAAACGAATTGATATGTTTTTTGTTTCCTTTTGTTTTTTCTGCTCTCACGCTCTGATATTCATGTGACGATATATGGTTCTGAACAGGGGGAGTTATAAGGAAGAAGATAAAAAACTGAATTCATTTTTTCCTGTTTTTCTTCCTTTTTCTTTTTTTTCGCATTTGCGCTCTGATATTCTTGTGACGATATATGTATATGAACAGGTGGAGTTAAAAGGAAGAAGATAAAAAAATTGAATTCACTTTTCTTTTCTCCTTTTTTTCTTTTTTTTTCGCATTTGCGCTCTGATATTTTGTGACAATATATATATAATGTACGCAAGAGGTTCTGAACAGGGGGAGTTAAAAGGAAGAAGATTTAAAAAAAAAAAAATTGAATTTATTTTTTCCTGTTTTTCTGTTTTTCGCATTTGCGCTCTGATATTTATGTGATGATATATATATAAGGACTCGCCACATCGCCCAGAGTAAGCGATACCCCTGAGAGAGAACAGCGGTCGACTTTACTCACACCAACCCTGCAATCTTAGCAGACTGTCGGTCCAAACCCCTGCCAAGAACGGCAATTAAGTCTGAGAAACTACTCTGACACAGTCACAAAACCCACTCTACACACTCACTCAGCCATGGACACTCAACGGTCCCGACCCTAGCCGCATCGATCCGCCTGAATGGAGAGCTTAGCGAAGCCATGTTGTGTGTTGTCATATTCGCGATATGTGTGTGTGTGTGTGTGTGTGTGTGAGAGAGAGAGAGAGAGAGAGAGAGAGAGAGAGAGAGAGAGAGAGAGAGAGAGAGAGGAAATTTGTAGAAGACATGAGAGAACTGTGGAATGCAAAACCGCCGCCGCTGGCGCTGCCACCGTGGCCATAAGCAGCTCAACACTAGTGCAGGCAGAATTGGAACCTGAAGAAAAGTCAAGTGGGAAACTAATACTGAGAAATGATACGTGCATTATATTCTTACCTTAAATCTTATTCCACAATGGGGATGTAGTTTGGGCCGCCTTTTGTTCAACATCAGGCATCGGGCATAGGCGGAGGATCATCATCGATCAATCTTGAGAAAAATTTGGTCTTCGGATGCAAAATGAATTTGATGGGAAGTGAAGAGGTAAAAGGTTCGCCTGAGTGTTAAAGACAAATCTGTAATATAATAATTTTGACCTGTCGATTGAGAGAGGCATCTGACGGCCGTTGGATGAGGTGATGACTTTCCTGAAGCTATTAGACAATATAGACAATATAGACAATAATTGTGCTTATGATTCGTCTATTATTACTGTAGTTTGGCCGCAATCAGAATCCACCTTGTGTGGCTGACGATGATCTGGATGTATTGATTGATTGGTTGATTGATTGATTGATTGGTTGATTGATTGATTAGTTGATTTAGTTGATTGATTGATTGATTGATATGCAGCCCGGGTCGTAATGAGTTTTTGTTTCTCTTCTTCCTATTTTAAAAGTACTGTTGTACTGCTATGCTGCTGCTGCTGATGATGATTATGGTGATGCTGGAAATGATGATGATGATGATGATGATGACGATGATGATGTGTAAACGCATGTTAGTTTCTGTAGGGTCGACCATCATGTTGATGACGCCTATCACTTCTTGTTAATCATAATGGTGATGATGATGAATGATTAGACAGTCAGGATGATGCGGAAGTGAATGATAATGGTGATGATGCCGAATGATTAGACAGTCAGCATTGTGCGGATTAATTGGTTAATTGTCATCCTTGTTTAGCTTTCTCGCTCGTGCCGGATGGTTCATTGCCTGTTTGAATCTTGATTGTCGTCGTGCTAGTTACGATAACGCTGTTATACTGATGCTAATTCTGGCGATGTACAATGATTCCGATCTGATTCTGATCACGGCGATGAGTCGTTCTGTCGTTTTCTTCATCTCCCTCCTTTTTTCTTTCTTCATTCCATCTAGTGATCCTCCTCCCCCCCCACCACACACACACACACACACACACACACACACACACACACACACACACACACACAAGGAAAAGTAGCAACAACAGCAGCAACAACAGCAAGATCAATAGCAACAATAGCAGCAGCGACACAATGGCAACAACAATAGCAACACCAATAGCACAACAATAGCACCAACGATAGCAACAACAATAGCAATAGCGACAACAACAACAACAACAACAACAACAACAACAACAACAACCACAACAACAACAACCGTGCACCTGGTTGATGTGAGGAGTCTGAGGACAATACCTGGATGTAATTTTATTATATTCTGACTATGTCATGTCAGGGTTTAAATTCTGACTATGTCATGTCAGGGTTTGAATTCTGACTATGTCATGTGAGGGTTTGATTTCTTTCCGGGTATGCATTAACAGCAGCAATAGTGACAACAATAACAACAACAACAACAACAACAACAGCAGAAAAGAGTTCAAACCGTTCACCTGGTTGTTATTGTTGTCGCTTTTGCTGTTATATTATGACTATGTGAGGTTTGGAACTCTTTTCGATGTATATAAACTGTCAATCTATGACGTGTGTATCTGTATAATATCTGTATAAGTATCTGTATACATTCCATAGTAGGGGGAGCCCCGGTCACAATCAATCTCTTGCTTTATATTATGCCCAATGTAGTTGTGCCCAGAGCTTCCGGATTTTCGAAAGGGGTGTTTTTCTTGTCTGTATTCTAGGTTTAGAGCAATATTTTTTCAGGCGATCAATAGACAAAGTGGGGGGAAAAAAAAAGCCGAATAAATACTCAGTTGCAAGATAAAGCCGCGACGTCCTTACCCCGTGCGTACTCGGACGGGGACATACCCTGCCGACTATGACCGGCAGCATGTGTTCTCTCTTAAAAGAATTGGGCAAGCAGAGGGTGGATTGTGTTGGCGGGAAGGGGGTGGGAGGGGAGGGACTGTGAAATCGAATTGAATCTTCGGGGGACAATGAATTCCTGTAAATGAAATCTTCTCGCAAAATATTGAAACTCGGAAAAGAAAGTGAAGAACTCAGAAACAGTACATCGGACTGTTCTGCGCCATGTCATGCGAACGTCTTCACCTATCTCATAATATATACTGAGAAACTGAATGATTTCAATGTGTCTTTGTGTAAAAAATTGTAAAACACTGAAAGAAATAAGAATACACTAAAACAAAGAAGAAGAAGACACTGTGTTGTGCCTGTCTGGTTTGTCTGTCTCTTGGCCTGTCTGTCCTTTCATTTTTTTCTTTTCTTCGCTCATCTTATTTCTTCTTCTACTTCACGTGTTTGCGCTCTTAGTCAGTAGTTCTGTGACAATGTATATGGCCATAGAGAACTGCCCGGTGAACCCTAGGCAGAGAGGAAGAGGACACCAAACGAGGTATGGGGTTCTTGGCTTGACTGGGGGGGGTGGGTATAGCGCCACGGCTCACGAGGTCTTTCTGGGCCACCATCCGTGCCCGCATCGTGTGGGGAGTGTGAGTTCATGCTGCAACTGTGCAGGGGTGGCATGGATATCACTACCAGTATGGTTCCACTTTTGGACACCTTTAACAACCCATCACGGCTGCAATGGTTAAGAAGACATCCGGATGTTGAGCCAGAGATCGCCGAGATCGCCGAGGTCGCCGGCTCGATTCCTTGCAGCGGCGATTAGAGCAATATGTACGAACGTACGTCAGCGAGATAACTACGGGCAGGAAATTGTACGCGGACCACGTGGCTGCGTGTGCAAGGGCCACAGGCCCTGTGGGAAGGTCTCGAGTGTGAGGTCATGCTGCAGCCTTGCAGGGTGGGCTGGATATCAATAGCGGTATGAGCTGCTCTTATGACCACTGTGTCAAATCTGCAGTTGTTAAATCCATCTGGCTGTTGAGTCAGAGATAGTCGGTTCGATTCCTTGGAGAGTCGACCAGAGATAAAGTGTACATACACCATCTGATTGGGGTTAGGGTGCAACCAATCGCTCAACTTTTCCGTTGGGGGGAGGGAGGAGGGGGGAGGGGGGTGCTGCTTGCGGAGCAGGTAGTGCTTGAGTCTTTTTTCTGAAATGAAATAATATTTTTTTTCATGTGCGTAACGAAGGTTTTAACAGCCCGGGTCAGATTTTTGTTTTTAGTGTTTTATGCAAATGGAAGATACCCCGTGCAGCAGGCACCAGGCACTCAGAGGTACTGGTGTTTTGATTGATCTGCAAGAAGGACCTTCTCATCAAATCAAGTCCTCTGTTTTGTTTCCGAAAAGGTACACCGCTCTGCCGAACCCTGAGAACAAAGGTGCACCCTCCTGCAATACGGCAATGCTCTAAAAAAAGAAGTAGAAAAAAAGGAAAAAAAGTTTAGATTCCAATGTTTGCCCGAACGCCCGGGTGGGGCGGGACAGGTTCGGCCCGTTCTTTTCAGGCCCGGCCGAACGCCCTTTTCAGGCCCGGCCGAACGCCGGTAACCCTGGTCCATTCCATATTTCCCTTGGGTGGTATATTAGTTCATGAATTGATCAGAAAAAGAAGCAATTGGAAAAAAAGAACAAGTTGATTCATATCTCCCTAGGGTGTCATACTTGTCCATTTCATATTTTCCCTTATAAAACTGAAAAACAAATACTCATCCAAAATATAAACTACTATTTTGTAAAACGGGTGGCATATTTGTCGATCTCATATTTCCCTAGGGATGGGCATGGCACCAGTGGTGAAAGCCCAAATGGAATCACTATACTCGGTCATCCTTCGTTTTTCTCTTCTTTTTCTTTGCAAACAAGGTAACTTGGCCGTCCTTAAACCTACCTCTTAAGCCTACCTCAGGTTGGAGAATCATCTTCTGCTTCCTTCCCTGCCTTTTTGTTTTTTTGTTTTTCCTTCTTCCTTCTTCCTTGCCTACTTTTTTTTTTCTTCCGTTTCAAAACCTTCTTCCTGCGTCTATGTTTCTGCCTCCAACCCCTCCCCTCCCCCCATTGCCGTTGTCTTTCCTTTTCCCACCGTGTCCTCCGCTTCAATTCTTTCTCCCTGTCTCCCTTTGACCTCCTTCCTTCTTTGTCCTCCCCTTTTCCCTCTGGTTTCCTTTTCTTTCTTTGGTTTTCCTTTTCACACCTGGCCTTCATGCTTCTTGTTTTTCCCTTCCCCCTCCCCCCTCCCTCTCTTTCTCCCTTTCTCTTCCTTTCTCCACTCCTTTTCCTTTCTCCATTCTTCCTCTTTGATCTCCTTTCTCAGGGCATTCTTGTTTGGTGTGTGCTGCCTTGGCTATGCAGGTCTTACCGGCCTCTCAGAGGTGGATGGGCGGTTTGAGCAATTTTCAGCGACACTCTTCAGTCATGATGCTACAGAAATGGATCGAGAGAAGCAGACACAAGCTGTGAATGAGAAGATGAATGCCTCCATCTCCTCATTCTTGTCCCTTCTTTCAGGCTACCTCTTGCTCACACCAGCACACCAGGCATTGGAATATCTAATCCGGCGCTACAAGTAAGTCAGCTGCAAAGCCAAGGCAGTAAAAGAGGAAAAGAGAGAGGAGGGGGGGGGAGGGGGGGGAGGGCGTTGTAACGGTATCAGATGAAGGGGTTGAATGCGAGCTTTGTGAGAAACAGGAATCTGGCAAATCTTTCTTTGCTGCTTCTGCGATAGGAAAAAAAAAGTTATCAGATGGCTTGCTCCTAGAAAGAGCGATATGTGCGAAAGGGTAAGCAGTGATGGGAGAGTGGTGGTATAGGCAGGGATCAGCAGGAGGGCTACGCCATGGTTAATCATCGATCGGCAATGTGGTCTGATAGGTGGGGGGAGGGGGGGGAGGGCGTTGTAACGGTATCAGATGAAGGGGTTGAATGCGAGCTGTGTGAGAAACAGGAATCTGGCAAATCTTTCTTTGCTGCTTCTGTGATAGGAAAAAAAAGTTATCAGATGGCTTGCTCCTAGAAAGAGCGATATGTGCGAGAGGGTAAGCAGGGATGGGCGAGTGGTGGTATAGGCAGGGATCAGCAGGAGGGCTATGCCATGGTTAATCATCGATCGGCAATGTGGTCTGATAGGTGCCGTAGGAGGTGTCCGTAACGGTCAAGACCCCGCTGAAAAAAATCAGGCCACTCTGACAGAAAAAAAAAGTGGTTTGGCAAATGCCTCCGTGCTCCCCCAAAGTGGTGATCTGAGATGGAAAAGGTGAACAATTGTTTTCTTTTGGATCTGCTGGACATTTCCTCACCTTTAATGCCCCTCTGTAGTGAAGTGTGCATGGCAGACTGCAGACTGCTGAGCCTTGGCCCCAGCCCAATGCTGCCCAATGCTGAGATTGCCAGTGTAAGCAGGCGGACAGTTCTGCCTGCTGCTTGCCAGGTATGGTATGGCATCTGCACTCCAAGCAGCGAAAGTCTGGATTACGGTTCACATCATGGTTCCGTCCGTCATCTGCACTGTAAGCAGCCAACAGGTTCACACCATAGTTTTCATTATGGTTCGGATCATGGTTTGGATCCTGGCTCGTATCATGGTTAGGATCGTGGTCCAGATGATGGTTTTAGATCACACTTACACCAACCTCACATTGAAAAATCACACCAACCCACTTGATAATTTAAAAAAAGGTGATGTCCACTTGAGGGCCAGGTCGCACTGAGCAGTCTGCAACAAACAGCACTCAAAACCATGCAGTATAGAGCCACAACACACTGGCTATGGCTGCACCCACCCCCTCTCCTCCAGCTTCAAAGATTGACGCTGCTGCCCGTGCAGTATAGAGCCACAACACACTGGCTATGGCTGCACCCAAACCCTCTCCTTCAGCTGCAAAGATTGGCGCTGCTGCATCACACACATAATCTTGTTTCACAAGCTGTTGTCATTCTGTGGTGAGCAACAAGAGACCTTTCACACACACTAAGGCGATCCAGATGTGCTGTAATCCTCTCAGATCTAAGCTGCACTCTGGGTTTCACATAATGGGCTCTCCAGAATTGTGTCTCAATTGAAGAGATGGAATGACGGGTGTGAAAATGTAGTAGCGGTTTGCTGTGTGTTGCCTCTGAACGGGAAACATGCCATCCCTCATTGCGGTCCCATGCAGTGCTGAGAGTGTGGTCAATCAGAACCCTGGCTGCATGGCTGAATGGCACACAGTGCCACACACATCTAACTGTTGATGAACAGATCATCAGCTCGAATCCTGACAGAATCAGATGGGTTCACTTCAGTCATGTGAGGGACCACCCTCTTTACAATTATGAACATGAATTAATCAACTATTTGAAGAAAACGGAAAAGGTGGATTTGAAGCAGCATCAGCGTTCATGTCTGCGAGAGGGGGTTTAGGCTACCCTCAGGGGCAGAAAAGCATGAACGGTCGTTTTTGTTTGTTTGTTTGTGGGACATTGTATCTGCTATGCTGGTTTGCACACCGAGCGTCGATCTCGAGTTGCCAGTGGATCGGTGATCAGTGTGCAAACGGGGATAGCAGATATACTTAACGACGGGGGCAAAGATCTCGAGCGTGATACCTGCAGGATCCTTGTGTCTACAAAGTGGAGCTGGTATTAGATTGCTTGTGTGCACCGCAACCTGTATCATGGGGAGAAGGCCTAGCTCAGTTGGTAAACCCACGAACTGTTGAAATACGGACTCAAGTTCGAATCCAGATACAATCAGATGACCAGAATAATATCATTCTGAATTACCTGGGCCCAGTCAGTTCTAGAATGATATCCCAAGGCCGATGGCCCCCCCTCGTTTCTCCCCCCCGCCCCCCGCCCCCCCCTTCAGTAAAAGAGCTCTTTTTTCAAAGGTTCAACTGTTGAAATACCCCTAAAAGTTGGGGCGTTTCGGGAGACAACCCTATAACACAGGGGTATGCCGAAATGCTCCAACCTTCACCATATTCCCTGGCCCTAGATTGCGGGGGCCAGCGCATTGCCAACGGAAGGGTCCAACGGCCAGAAATACCGGGGCATGTAGACAAGTTGCATAGGGCCCGGTAGGGGTATACACAAAAGATGACCGGTCCAATTAGCGAATGGGGTATTTTGCAAAGTTTTGCACCTGTCATAGGGGCATTTTGCCATACCCATGCCTTTTAGGGGTATCTAACGAAATACCCCAACTTTCAGGGGCATTTCAACAATTTTCCCTTTTTCAAATCGCTCACCTTTGGCAGAGGCAGGCGGATGGTTCACTGAGCGCTTTCCTTTTGTGTTTTCGTTTTGTCACTGTGGTGACAGTCTTAGCATTCACTCTTCTTTTGTGTCTTTTTGTAGAAGCGGGATAGACCCTAAGATTATTCTATCCATCAGGATTCGAACTCGCTATCTGTGTATGAGAAGCTACATGTGTGTGTGCAACTAGATGTTCATTGAACTCAACGAGGGTCTGTACTCGTGATCTATTTGTGAATGGTGAAGCCAAAAGGCTTGGTCGTCTTGTGGCTTTGGTCGTTTGGAACTCGATGTCCATATGAAGTCAATTTGCTAACGGGTCTTCATTTCATCTGATCTGTGCAGAATTCATGTCTACAATGTGGACGCAGTGATGGCATGTGTGCTCCCATATCATGAGACAAACCTCTTTGTCCGCATCGTTCAGCTGTTGCAGATTGAGTGAGTTTTTTCCTCCACCTCTCTACTTGTTGTCTTCCATGCATGATGATTGCGGCGCTTTTGCTCCCTCAACACGGGGGAAATTGATAGATGTCATGAGGATGGGTTTGAGGTTGTCATTAGGTCCAGTACAAAGGTCTTCGAACTCATCGGTTAACCCACCCCCAAATGGGGGGTCAGGCCTACGGTATGGAAAACGCTGGTGTCACCAGGCACATAGCCTGCCGCGCCGACTTGGAAAGAATTGGGGGGCAGCAAAAATCCATGTCAGGAAACGGAGGCTCAGACGGACTGGTGGTTTACTGGTTGGTAGTGCAGAAGACCTGCAGTTGGCCGCTTCCTCCCTGGGCCGGAAGTGTACTACTAGCCCAGGATGAAAAGAATACAGGCGTGCAAAGGGCGAGGGTTGGTAGGCCCCCAATGTGACAGAGACCGGCCAGTAGGCCTTCATGCGTTTGTCTTGCGGAGGGCCTGCCTCCCCAGATTTTCTTGGCTGCTGTGCCATATCTACTCTTGCTAGAAATGCATCCATCAGGTTTTGCACGTGGCCAAGAAATTCAAGGGACGCTCTTGGAGGCACAGACCCATGGAGGGACTATCCTCCCTAAATTCTTTTGGCATGCCATTGCTAAAAAAACGGTGCGTGCGTGTGTGTGTGTGTGTGTGTGTGTGTGTGTGTGTGTGTGTGTGTGTGTGTGTGTGTGTGTGTGTGTGAGAGAGAGAGAGAGAGAGANTGTGTGTGTGTGTGTGTGTGTGTGTGTGAGAGAGAGAGAGAGAGAGAGAGAGAGAGAGAGAGAGAGAGAGAGAGAGAGAGAGAGAGAGAGCATGCGAAGAAAAACATGTAAATCCAAATTAAATGAGGTAAAAAAAGGTGAGTTACATTTTTTTTCGCAACCCTTTCCTTTTCTTTGCTAGTAATGTGGCGATAGGTCTCTCAGTTTTTTCTTGTTTGGTTGTGACGGGTTTATTAGAGGATTGGGGTAGGGCTTTGAGGGTGGATGAAGCAAGCTCAGCATTATCCTTGGCTTGTGTGCGACTGTATGCGGCTTGTGCTGGGATTGACATTTGCAGTGTTCCACAGAAGTCAGGAGGGTGAGGGGGGAATCCCCTCACCCTTTTACGTTCCCCTCACCCTTCTTGCATTTTCCCGGTGGGTGACTCCCATAACTATGTTGACTGACGTGGTGATCGTGATTTTGGCAGGCACACGAGGTGGGAGTTTTTGCAGGGTGTTCAGGAGAACGGAACCGCGTTGCCTAGGGAGGTCTTGGTTGCAAGATGCACGAAAGATATGGCGGTTTTGGATGCTATTTGTGAAATGGTAGGTTTTGGAAATCACTGCAGGAGGGGGATGGGAGTGGAAGAGCGAGTGTGCCTTTAGCTTGCCCTGCCTTTGGACCATCTTGGCCCTTAACCAATCTGAGCCACCCACTTCAGTGAAAGAGGAGTTTAGTCCAAGATCCAGTGGATCATTGATGGAAGCACAAGGGAAGAGGGGGGCGGGGGCAGGGGAGGGGGAGGGATATTGCGAATCCTCGTGCATGTCAGGAGTGTAAATGAGTGGTGATATTGTTTTTTTGTGTTTTTATTTCACTTGGCAGTGGGAAAAGAGCCATACTGGGCTCCCCCTGACTATAGAAAGGAGCCATGGGCAGAGCACTGTGTTGTGTTTTTTTGAACTCATGTTGTCGTTTCTTTTCTTCAACATAGCAAAAGGAAAGAACAGAAATAAAACAGAAAACGTAGAAAGAGGGCCAGCTTGCCTCTTTGACTTTTTTTTTCTTTTCTTTCACCCTGAAGTATCAGCAAATTCTTTTCACCAGAATGGACAGAGTTTGCAAAACTCTTCAGTGATCTGTAGTGTGTTATGACCCTGGCCAACTGCGAGATACACATCCACTGAAAAGTACAATGCCATCCAATTGCAGAAAGAAATGAATGAACTTGAGAGGAGAGAGAGGAGTAGAAGAAGAAGAAGTAAGAAGGAAGAAGAAGAAGATGTACACCAGCAAAGATAATGACAAGGCTCTTCTTCTTCGCCTAACAATCTCCTCCTCCTTATCTCCCCCTTCTCTTATTCACACAAGAAATAATAATACAATGTTGAATGACTGGTCCAGAATCATGTCCGAGTCCCTTTTCTACTGCAGGTATCACTCATGGTCCACCATAGCCATGGCCGCCTCCCCCCACTCTTCACACTCATAGGCCGAGGCTATGGTGCAATCAGACTCGCTTTCAAACACACTTTTCACACATGTAAACAGTACGCAGCACACTGGCGACATGCGCCCACTCAAAACTCAGAGATATGGCTTCAGATACGAGTTCACTCTCAAATGGCTATGGCGACTTCAGCGCCCAAACATCTCACTGTTCACATGCACTGGATCACCCTGGATATCCCACACGCATCACTCTAACACTCGACACACACTCACTACTAACTACAGCTATGGCAGCAATGGCTGCCTCTAACCTATCGCTATGCTAACTCCTCCTCTCTTGCCCACTGCGTCCTCCGGGCTCATCTGCAGACCTCCTTGCACAAGCTGCTGTGGCAGCGCTTCCGCATGGATCACGCAGGAATGAATGAATGGCTGGGCGCTGCCTCTTGATTTATACTTCAGAAATTCGTTGGTCTGCCCTTTACCTTCGGCCCTTGGTGCTCACAGTCCCCCTGTGGTACTTGCTGGACT